CAGTACAGGAATAAAAAGTATTAAAAATTAACAAAACAAAAAAAATTTCCTTTATGAGCACCTGTTATATTGGGTATGGGTTGATAAGGAGTTGAATTTGCAGTTTTGTTTGTAAAAGAGGGGAGAGATAACACCACTATCTTTATCACATTTTAAGGTTGGCTCCAAGATTTACATGCAAACAAAATGGCTCAGTTTGAGTATGTCGAATCAATTCGAGGTGGTGAATTAGTTTTATTTAATGAATTTTTATGTAGAATAAGGATGAAACACAGAACGAAAATCTATTATAAGTGTATTTCAGATGATTGCAAAGCTTCCTTAATTCTAGAAAATGATCATATAATGCGTCATAAAGCTCAGCAAACCCATGCGCGTGATAAGGCGCATGTACTGGTTTATCAAAACTGTACAACTGTACTGGTTTATCAAAAGTTGTATAGCATGCAATTATTTTTTAAAAAAAATACCTATTTCAAGCAATGTCAGCATCTTTGTTTTTTCATTTGTTATTACATTTTGCTAATGCTCTTTTGTATCGCCATTTTGTTTTCTTTGCTGCTCGTCCAGATACTTTATCCTCTTTTAATAGTTCTGATTGTTCCACGCAGTTAAACTTTGTCTGCAGTAATTACTTCCTTATAAATACCAGTTTTTTTGGATTCATTAAATTAAAAAGTTCTTTCAGATGTTCTGAATACCCGCCCGTGAATATTCCCCAATAGGCCATTATTTTTTTAATCGTTTAATAAAAGTCGTCAAGTCAAATTTACCAAATATTCTAAACTTAAAGGGGAAAAAAATTGATCCTATGTGAAATGGAATTAATAGTAGTTTACATATTCTTCAGATTATTGATTATACAAGTCAATCAATTAAAAATTCAAAAATTGAAACAAATTACAGTTTGTGCATACATTCAAGACTATTTTTAATGCTTACGAACCTTTACGAATATTTTGTGCATTCGAATATTTTGTGCATTAGAATAATCTCTAAATATCTCTCAATAGATAAAAATAAAATTTTAAAAAAAATTAGAAATTATTAATTTTTGAGGTCTTTTAAGCCCTTAGGATGGACACTTTGTCAGTGATCATTTGATTATAGTCTATCAAAAATAATTTAATGTGAGTTTAAAATATTCTTAGAGATAAGAATGATTTACTGTGGATTATTGATAGACGCTCTACTTCCACATGTTTGTGCGAGTAATTATTCAACATAGAATACAACTATTGAGTAACAATAATACATACTGCCCTACAATGATAGGCGAGACACTTTCAGATTTTGACATTTTTATTATTTTCGCAAGAAATACTAAGATTATTTTATAACTTTAGAGATACTTAGGTCATTCGCAGGGTTTAATTTAGCAATAACAATTTAGTCGTCCAAGGGCCATCCTTAGTATTCATTTAATTGTCATTAAATTTAAGATGGTAGACAAATTTAAAAAAAATTGAACTTTACAATTGTATATTTTTTTATAGTACACATGAAAAATCAACAAAATAATATTAATAGAATTAGTAGTATAATATCAATAGAATTATCACTCAAGTAACGCAAACTCAGTTCTTAAAGACCTTTCACAAAAAAATTAGTTCTGAAATTAAGGGTTTCATTGTCTTCTGAGTTGGCTTCCATGATTAAATAGCAATCATATGGTATATCTTTTCCCTAATCTACATGATGATTAGTTTGGAGTGGAGACGTGATTTTCATTACTTTTTAAAGAATGCATTAAATTCTTAATCACCTGTTTAATATATAATAAATATATAAAAATGTTAAATGGATGAAAATGTTAAATATATAAAAACATTTCTAAAATGAATCCGCGCATGCATAGTCTGAAAAAATACTTTAAAACCCCATATCTTCAGAAATTTTTAACAATTTTTTATATAAACTTAAAAATAGCAATTTCAATAGTGATTGAAAATGGTTCCGAAAATTTCGTTGATTATCTGCGGAGTTATAGCCCAAAAAGTTGCAAGAAAAAAATTACTATTTTATTAAAATTTTAAGTATGGAGGGGTTTGCAAATAACAACCAAAGTTATCAATGCAAATTAAAATCTTTTATTTCATCTATCCATCATCAATCTTTTTTTAATCTTTCATTCAAATTAATTGCTTTATTTTTTGGCATAGGGTGTTCAAAAATACTTGTTTTCGTTTGTAATTCATTGCTGTTCTTTGAAAGCTTTGAAACATTTTTTTTAAGTATGAGAAATTTCATGACCTAAACACGACTAAAGTATTTCTTGAGAAATAATTCTAATTGGATTTAAACTACTTTCTTTTAATTCTGCTATTCAAACTTTTTTCAATGTCTCCTACCACATAAATTATTGGTCCAGTTTTTATTAGATTTTTCCATGATTCAATGTTATTTTGTGACATCTAATGAAAACTAAAAGTTCAACTTTACTTTTAAAAAAATTTTAAAAATGTAGTTTACAGGCGTTGTTTATTGGGATATTCTATGTGTAAAAAAAGTTTTATGTACTTTTTTTTTCTTTTTGTATAAAATATAATTTCATTTAAATTTAAAAAATTTTTTGGATTGAGCAAATTGATTTACATTCCTTCATTTCGTATGACAAAAACCAACTAACTATATTTAATTTATTTTAGTAAAAGGTGATTTTTCTGAAAGCTAATAAATTGTCGAAAAATTTATTTGCGAAAAAGAACAACTAAGTTTTAAAAAGAAAAGCTTCAGGATCAAGATTTTTGAAAAAGTAAGAAAAAAACTTTGGATTTGGGAAAAAAGGAGAGTTAATTATAAAACCGCATTTAACAATGTTGTGCTTAATAATAATAAATAAAATTGCCGTGAAAATATTTTGTTAATACCATTAAAGACTATTGAATGATTTCTCAGTTCTGTACTGAACATGAATTTAATTTAGTTCTTTAGCTCGCAAGTCTGTATCACGGCTTGAATATCAATACATAGAAATAGTTTCAATCATTATCCCATAAAATCTTGAAAAAAATTAATATTTCTAATTATGTTTTTACGGTGCAGTTACTATATTATGTTGAATTCTTATATGTGTTGCATTTTCAAACCTCAGTCATACAGACGATAAATTTTATGGTTTAATATTATTAATCATAATAATAACATTATGATCGATTTCATTAAATTTAATTGACGTAATGTCTGTACTCAATGAAAAATTAGATTTGAACTACAATTAAAAAAATTCTTAAAGATTTCAAATATTTCGTTAATGCGATTGTTTATAACGATTTCCAATGTTAAGAAAAAATGTTCTGATAATTGAAATTTCATTTAATTTTATAGTTTATTTAAAATTGCCGAAACACTACATAAATCTATTTCAATTCGCTAGACAAGATAAGCTATTCATGAAATGGTGGTAAGTCAAGGTACAGCTCTTTCGCTTCTTTCATTCTTAGAAAATTTTCCCTCTGATAGCTAAGACTTTTCCCTCTCATGACTAAGACTTCTATCTCACTCTTGCGAAGAGGAAAAATCCTTCTTCATACCAGGAAAAATAGTAACCTTGTTATAAGAAAAGCGCCAAGAGAAAATAGCTATATCATGCCAAGAGAGTATTAAGCCAAGTCCGTTCTAGGGGGACTTTTTGACGCACCTGAAAGCAACTATCCTTATCTTGACAGCTGAAGTTTGGGCGAGGTCTATAATGAACCGAACATTCTTCGCAGGATTCTGGGATAGCCTGGCTGGTATGCGGGAGAGGTTGTAAGATCGATTCCCACCTGCCGGTCGTGGCTGGTGCAAATAAAATCTGTCTAGGTCACAAAGTTCTCCCAATTCACATAACAAATCAATACCTCTGGGAGATGGTGGAAATTGATTGTGCTCTGGTTCAGGTCAATATTACGATCTGCGGATGGATTGTGTATGAATGCGTATCCTCACTGTAAAACAGGATGTGACGTATGTATCCTGTATTCCGGATCATCCTCAGGGATGTTTTCCAGAATGTCGCCTTTAGCCCACTGTGCAGCTCTAGTGCGACGGAAATAAAAGTTCCATACCGTACTTTTCATCTCAGTACTGACGCGCTTTTGTCTAAGCCTCTGCTCTAAGAGCCTCCCCACAGCTCCAGAATTGAAATGAATGCAAATCTTTTTTAAACTTACTTATTTTATTTCAAAAAAATAATTGATAGTAATATTTACTATAATGACGTATTGGTATTTACAGACAAAAAAATTAATAATATAAAAATAAGTGCAAACCACTTTTGCACTGTTGTGAAAATACTTGCAAATACCCTCAAAATTGAGCTGGTGACTTCTTATTGAAATGTTTTAACGACAAAATATGATGAATCTCAATACGTTAAAATGTTAATAAATAATTAGCTAAACACCCTGAAATGATATAGAAAAAATTTGGTGCACAGGACGAGTTATCTCGTCCCTAGTGCCCAACGAATATGCCTGGAAGACAAGTTATTTCATCCGTCACGACGATGATTTATAAATAAAATATAAATTGTACGTATTATAATTTGTTCGTAGCAGATTAAAAGTTTCACAGACATTTAAACCCTTTAGTATACATATCCTGGAAAATATTAAATGATCAATTAGATATTTTTTTAAGCACAGTATGTGCAAGAAAATGAATATTTTACCATAATTGAAAATTTTTAAATTTAAGGATAGTTTAATTCAAAAATGGATCGCGTAGTCCAAAAGAACATAATTTAACTTCAAGTTAAAAAAAAGAATTATTTCGATATATATTATTATAATAATATATTATTATAGTCTATAGTATTTCTATAAGTATATTATTATAGTACAAAAAAGAATTATTAATTTTATTTATTTTAAATGTCTCATTTTTTATTTGTTATTTTAATACAATTTTACTATATTATATTGCTATGTATAATAACAGTTTAAATAGTCATGAAAGCATTACATTGATTTTTTTAATTTACTTTCTACATTTGTTACTTACTTGATCATATTTTGTTAATCCTGTTCGATTGGATCACAATTATAATAAACACCATATAACACAAGTCCTAAGAAACAGCATGTTGTGTACATGAGACACACTGGGAAACTACTCATTCGAAGTGTTCTATAAATATTTAATGACATATTTTTATAAAATATTCTGCATTTTATTTTAAAATTTAAATGTTGAAATGGAAAAAGTATAAATGGGAAAAAATACCATTGAAAAATAAATTAGCTGTTATTTGAAAAGAATATTCAAAGAAAGTTTCATGAAAAGAGATTTGAATTACTAAAATTGTTTAAATTTCCAGATTCTAAGTTAGGCACTCATACAGTTTAGACGTTTGAATCTTGAACAAAATAGCACACATTGTAGAAGTTTCTCGTTAAAATCAGTACGCATGTTTTTAGATGTGTAATAAAGGTGATTATATTTAAATTTTTGAATCTCTGTCAACTGTATAATAATAACATTGTAACGTTATAATGTACTATTTCTATCCACCTCTGCGCTGTTAAGCCTAATTCGAATTCGTCTTGGTATTCTTTCTGGGCAATGTGTATTTTTACTTTACGAACTAATTCTATCTTCTGAAGTAATGTTCGAAGGCCTCCTAAACTAAATATTCTAATTTTAAACTGTTTCATAAAAATAATTTTACTGACTAATATCTGTATAATATTTTACTGTTACTATAAATTTCAGTGTTATTTAATGACAAAAATATTAGCAGCTACTTGACGCTAAGTAGGGTAAAAGATAATTCTTAGTGTAACACTAGGAACTATCCTTGGTTCTTAGTGAAATAAACCTAGTGTTATGTAATGTGTTTAACTTCATTACTTTGGTGTAAAGAAGTTGCCACTGTTTTTGGTACTAAGAAACTCAAAAAGGTTTTATAGAGTGAAATGATAAAATAGCTGGTAGACAATTACAGCTTTTGTTGTTAAATATGTAATGAAATATAAATTTAATATTATCTTATCACGATGAAATCGTTCCTTTTTATGTTTGAATGTTTTTCTTTACTAAAAGTGAGAATCGTAGAATGCACGATTTTTTACTCACAATTTGTTTAGATTAAATTGTCATAATTTTAAATGGCGGTAAGCTATGTTTGGTGATAGAAGGATAATTAATTCTACTATTAGTTGCCGGAAAGCTATTAAAACATGCGTAAACTCTATGTACTACGTTTTTCGAGATCAGAACGAGACGCATTTTTCAAGATCAGGAAAGAATTTTTGTTCAAAAATATTACAATTACCATGTTGACTGTAACATGTTCCTAGCTATTACGCTGCCATCTAGTGGATATTCTGAAAATATGAAAAGTACATACTTGGAAACAATAAATTATTAATTTTGGCAATTTTGGTACGCAACGTGACGTATTCTTTGGTTACTAAAAAACGAGAAAAAGAAACTCAATGCAGTAAATATGATTTTGATGCGAGGTCTGAAAGCTCTCTATCTGTAGGATAATTTCGAACTGTTTATCCAAGCTCTGTAATTATGATAGAAACAGGAACTCAAGAACTAATGCATTTGTAATTCAGTATCAATTCGAATTGGCATTTAATAGCTATTTCGGAAACCTATAAAAATATATCAATATGATCCACACACACAATGTTTTTGGACCGTTATATACATACGATTTTGCTCGTTTAATGGTACTGAGACTGAGTAATCTTTGTACTTCAACTTGGTTTGTTCCAAAAAAAGACACTCCTGTCAATATTCCTTGAGTTGCGCATGCCCAAAATCCATACCTCCTAGTTATATCTGGCATGAACCTGTAATGTTACAAAAGTAAGACAATGTCGCATGCGATGAGCGTGCTAAATATGAAAATATTCTTACTCGAATAAGTCCAGTCTTTTACCAATTGAAGCTTTTTGAAAGAGTTCAAAAATACCACCTGCATCACAGATGCCTGCTATGCATATTGCTAACAAACAATTTATCATTAAAATAGCTTGGAAACAATCCGTCCACAAAACAGCTTTAAGTCCACCCTAAATATTAAAATTATTATATAGATATTAGGTATTGTGTAAGAAAGCAGTGATTTTCCACAAAATAGCCTTGGTGTTAGAAGGATTAAAAATTAGTATGGTGCTGTTGTCAGATTATTTGCGAAATGTTTTTCTTCAATATAAAAATATCCTTGAAACCCAGGAATATCAGCAACCCAGAAATTTCAGTTCTTTAAGTTAAAAAGTACTATGAAACTAACTAAGAGAGAAGAATTGAAATACCCTTCAAGTACGAAACTATAAATATAGATAAGGGCAATAAAGATATTTTATTTATCCATATTTGCATTTTGTGAAATTTAATAATTATTCATCGATTGTATTGAATGCGTGACTGTGCAATAAATATAAAGTATTCCCGCATAAGTCCGCTGAGAGTCAGGGAGGACATGGAAGTTCCGAAGTTTCTAGACCAACGACAAGATTGTTAACGATTTCAGAATTACACACAGACAACGTTTACTTCCCAGACAAACTGTCTCCAAACGATCTGAAATAGTGTGGGCTTTAAGCCGCCTCTAGGGATAAATCCCTTGTCCTTGAGAACAATAAGTTCCTTTTTTCTATAGATTAGTAATAGTTTGATATAAAAAATAATTGCGGTAAGTTTTGTCATGATAAATTTAAATAAGTAAATTAAGATTGTAAATAATAATTTCTATTTAATATAATAAAATTAAAAAAAACGTTACAGAAAAAACAAGTTATAAAATTTAATATTTCTGAAAATTATGAATCAATTTAGAAACCAGTCTCACCAAGGAACAATAAAAAGCACAAATAGCTCCCAAGGACACAATGGACACTTCAAAAGACAAATCAGTGGTAGCACTTAAGGCCAAAACTGCTCCATAAAGCGATATGGACATGTAGAAAACCTAAAAAAGATCTTAAATTAAAAATTATCTCTCTTTTTTTTTTCGTTTTGATGCAATACAAATATTCATTCTTACCATCTGCAGAAGAAACATTACAGACACCAGATATCTAATGATTCGTCCATATCGCATTTCAAGGTACTGAAAAATAAATTTTTACAATTATCAAAAGAAAAAATTGTAAATGTCTTTTTTATTGTACTTTTTAATTATTTGTATTTTGTACTTGTATTTTGGCTTTATATTAAGTATTTGTATTTTTGCTACATATTTTTTTAAGCTTTATATTTAGTTTTTATTTTTATTTGGCATTGTAATTAGATCATGTAGATCACCGCTAATCAGGCTCGCTCCCGGGGATGTGGTGAGCTGGTATGGTATCCAGATGTGGACTGAACGGGTAAGGGTTTTGCAAACCTAGGTACGTGTCCACGTCTGGAGGAAAGAAAAAAATAAAGTTCATGTAAATCAATAAAATTACAATTTCAAAAGAAATTTCATTAAAATTGTAAAAAAATAAATAAATCGATGGAAAAAAACAGAAAAAAGTTTTATTCCAGGAAAAAATTAATATATTTATAATCTGCTAAGTTAAACCGTATTATTGTATTTTTTGAACTACACTGGTTATCATAAATTAAGGAAAATTCACAAAAATCGCGATAACTCAAGAAATTACACATGGAATTTTATGAAACTTACCCACAATATACAACACATAGTAAGGTATTAAACAACATAAAAAGAAATTATCAGACATTAATAGTAGTATAGAAATTAGCACATGTATAAAATAAACAAATTGGAAGTATCGGTTTGCAATAGAAAAAGTACCTTTAATATGGAATATGATTGCCTCTAGAAGCAATACAGCACAAACAGCGATGTGTGATGCTTTCAATTATGCGGTCTATCAGTTCAATAGGAAGTGAGAGCCATTGCTCTTG